GTTAATTCATATACTTGTAAATAAAGATAAGATTCATTAACTTTTGTTTACCTGAACATCTAAAAAAAAATATATATTAATATGGACTTGAATTTTATAATTATTAATAAAGATTGATCTTTATTAGAAGGATATGAGGCATGTTGATGCCAAAATAAAAATTTTACTAGTGTTATTTTACTGTATCTATTATGAATTGTGATCGGCAAAAATTTTCAATAGTCACGTTACATGAATCGAAAGTCCACTATGCTGTGGTGTTAAAAAATCAAAAAAAAAGAGTAACCCTTTTACTAACTAAAAATGTGACTGGAACCGTAAAACTTCCTCCCTTGTTTATCAATAAGAATAAAACACCAAGGGACATGAGAGGAATTGATAAGTCAAAGCTTCCCGTTGATTATTATTGGAATGAGAAAGCCTGGATGCAGGTTTCCATTTGGAATCTTTACTTAAAGAAGTTGAATGAACTGATGGTGAAAAAAGGCAAACACATATTATTACTATTTGATAATGCGCCAGTACATATTCTTGAAGAAAATACTACTTTAACAAATATCACACTTCATCACCTTCCTCCTAATACAACTGCTTTTTTACAACCAGCTGATTCAGGAATAATTAATTCGTTTAAAGTATCTATTACTATCAAAAACAATAAATTTTTTTTTACCTTTCAATAATTATTTGTTCTAATTTTACATGCTTTTCAGGCTCATTATAGAAAATTACTTGTTAAAAACAGGATTGATGCTTATGATATACATCAAAACCTTGGTACTCCTCTTCAAAAATTAAAAATATCAGATGCGATTACACTTTGTTCACATGCATGGAAAGAAGTAACTGCTGAAACGATTAAAAACTGTTGGTTGAAAACAGGTATTTTACCGACTTCAGAAGATACCATGCAAGTAGATACAGATACAAGTAGCAATAACCAACAAATTAATGAACTTCAAGATCTAATCAATCAGTTTAATATAACTGAAGCATCTGATAAATTAGATGCTGTGGAATTTATTACAATTGATAACGATAATGGTGAAGATACCGAAATTACTGATGAAGAAATAATCAGCTGTGTAAGACCAATAATTCAGACAGAAACGGAAGATGATGATGATGTTCCACAGACAATTACCACAACAGAAGTATTAAAATCTTTAGATACAGTGACTTCTTATATTAAGAATCCACCCCAAAACCTTGTCTTTGAGTTAAAACACATTAATTCAATTAATGTAATCAAAAATCAAATATCTAGACATGAAATTAATTCTAAAAAACAAACTACACTAGAAAGATGGTTCACATAATTATTTCATTAATGTATTTTTTTTATTCAAATAATAAATTTTAACTAATGAAAATTTCACGTGACATTTGGCGATCTTTTTATATAGTGAATCGTACTATATAGTGAAGTTTTTCCAAAAACAAATGCTTCATTATATCCAGAGCCAACTGTATTCAATATAAATTTTAAATTTTATAAATAGTTATTCAAATTTAAAAATTTTTTTTCATTAAAAAATTTTTTTGGTGATGATCAACAAATGTGCGCATTTTTTATGTAACACACGCGCCCGCACACAATTTCACACACTGATCATGTCCACAAGAAAATTAAGTTACAATATAAGATATAAAATAATAATAAAATATAAAGTATAAAATCAGACCCGGACACTTTACTGACACCCACTTTACCGACAAGACACTTTACCAACAACACACAATGTGATGTTTTAGCATTTTGTTAGTTTGTTTGATTGTGTAGAGATTAAATGTAACCCTGTGTGTTGTTGGTAAAGTGGGTGTCAGTAAAGTGTCCCAGACCTGTATAAAATAATATAATAAAATAATAAAATGATAAAATATATATATAATGTTTATAAATGTTCTAACTATTCTAATACCAATATTCCGACTTGATTCTTGATACAGCGTCTACATTTTGATGTTTCTTTCCTGCCCTGTGCTCTACTTCAAAATTATAGTCATAATCCATCAAGCTAATTTCCCTTTTGATTCTTTCATATTGTTCAAATACTTCAGTGCTGCATGATCTGTGATTAATTTAAACTTTGATCCACTAAGATATGAATGAAAGTGTTTGATTGCCCAAATAATGCCAAGGCATTCTAATTCAGTTGCTGTGTAATCTGCAGGTTTCAATTGTCTACTTGCATACATGATCACTCTTTTGTTTCCCTCATTGTCTAATTCAGTCTGGGATTGTACCATAAATGGAAATCAATTCTAGATACAGCTATTATGGAAGAGGTACTAGAAAATGAGTTTTCTAGTTTAATTAACAATATACAGACTTTTGCCTATTACACAAATAATTATAAAAGCCATCATGAAAAATGTCTTCACTTCAGCACAAAACTACTATTAACAAAACAAATTAGAATAGATAAAACAATATTAACATACATCTCATTAAAACTAGAGAAACCAGAGAACAATCTTCTCAACCCAAGTGAATACTCACTTTATCATCTTGAAATAATTATAGTGTCAATGTGGTAATCTATGTTATTTCTATATTGAGTAATGAAATATGGCCATCAACTAATTACTCCATTCATTACTATGTTAACTTATAAAAATATAACAATAAAAATAACAATAATAAAATATGAATAATAATAAGAAATCATCATCATCTGCTGGTACTGCTAATGAAAGGCAGTAGTGACGACAACAACATCATCATAATCAATATCTACCCTCCATAATCACCTTCACAGACATTATTAATAATATTAAAAATAATAATAATAATAATAATAATAATAATAATATTTTCAATATTTAAAGAAAAAGAAACTAGAAAGAAATATGTGAAAACCATTTAAAAAGGGCAGTATATATTTGACAACCACCAGATTATCAAAATATAATAATCTTATGGGAAATAGGCACTTATGATGCATGTTATATTTAAAAAATTTTATCAAAATTCATGCACAGCTTTTGATATCACAAGCTGAATAAAAGAATAAAAAAGAAACAGTCATTGAAATGTCCTATCAAAAGCATTGCTACATTTAAAAAGACAAAATGGATTAGTAGTGGCTACAACAATAACAGCAACAACTTATCATCATCATTTAAACCAGTAGCAAAATCATCATCAACATCTGAAACAACAGAAACAGTAATTACCATAACAGAAAAATCTATATGAATATTTAATTAGTTGGACATTTGATATAATATTTAATTGAAATTTCTAAATTTAAAGCTTCCAAATAAATTATGTTGATGTTTTTTTTAAAAATTTATTTTCTTGCAATTTAGTAAACCGAGATTTCTTTAAAAATAATAATTAATATTATTAATTATTATATATTTATATTTGAATAAATTATAAAAATCATATTTTTTTGTTTTTACAACTCACTTCAATGATTACTATCTTTGTCATTATTATTATCATGTTTATTATTATTGTTGTTTTTGTCATTATTATTGTGTTGAATACGATTTGCAAGTGTTTCATAACCAAGATAAATTATAAAAGCTCCAATGCCCCAAGATAGACCTGGCCAAGAAAGTCTTACATTGTTACGAAATCCAAATTGATTACGCCAGGCTTCTCTTCGAGCCCAAGGATCAAAGTATTTCGGAGTAGTCATTTTTTTTATGCAAATACTAAAATGATGTAACACGATTTGATTAAAAAATCGCTTGTGTTGCCTTTGATCAACATTTTGACCATATAATCATTTTTTATACAAGTCAAAAAACACTTTTTAACAAATTAATTAATTTACTCTCCGTTTCAATACTTCGATTAATTAATTATTTAATTAATTATTTGATGAATTTAAAAAAAATTCATTATTATAAAAATAATTAATGTTTATATCACCAAAAGATACCAGGGCTGGGAATAGTAATATATAGTACTTTAAAAATCCGAATTTTCCTTTAAAAATTTTTAACTTCTGGAAAAAAAAAGTTGCTGGATATTTTAAAGAAATTTTATTACAGATAAAGCTCCGAATGAGCCGAGCCAAGAAACAATAAGCTTGAGCTTGACGTTACATAAAATTTTTTTAAGTAACGAATGATTAATTCTGATACTTTTTATTTTATTTGTGCACATTACCTAAAGAACAATTTAAATGCCTATTTCCTTGAACTTAGCTTGAACTTGAAATTCAGGTTTTAACTCGAGTCTGCTCAATTCTGAGAATAAAACAAATGATTCAAATGATTCAAATAACGAATAAAACAAATGATACAAATGATTCGAATGATTCAAATAAACAAATAAAACGGATAAAACCAATGATTCAAATGATTCAAATAAACGAATAAAACGGATAAAACTAATGATTCGAATGATTCGAATAACGAATAAAACAAATGATTCAAATGATTCGAATAACAAATAAAATGAATGATTCGAATAAAACGAATGGTCTAGAAAATCTTTAGCATTAGGAGAAATTTCCTTTTTTTTCAGATCTTATTTCCAGCCCTGATGCGGAGTATGATTAAATATGTGACATGCATATGATTTGAAAAAAAAAAACATGCAATGTCCCATACATGATTTCAATTCAAAAAAAATTTGGCTTCATTTTGTTAAACCGGGTAGAATTGATAATTCTAATTTCATTTTGTAATTAAGGCTCCGAACGATTCGATTCGATTCGACTCGACTCGAATCACTCTAAATTCGATTAGTGACTCGATTCAAACCGGATTTCCTAAATTTTTCGATGCCATATTAAATACAGTGAATAACGATGTAGTGTACCTCAATTTAATGGATACTACTGATTGAAGTTTAATAATAATAATAATAATAATAATAATAATAATAATTTCTTCTCAATTTAACGGATAGACGGGACACATAAGAAAATTTTTATATGTTTTTATATGTATAAAAATCCGTTATGATAAGAATTTAATTATTATTATAGTCTGTAGTGACAAAGTTTGGATATAATAATAACGGATTTTTGGAAAAAAATTTCTAATTGCCCAAACTATTGCTAAACCAAGATTGTGTATATTTTAAATTTTTTGATTGATAAAGGACATTATTTAGTGATGTTGGCCGAAACTGTTTTTGAAAAAAAGGTAGTTTCGCCCAATACATATATAATAAGTATATAAATTAAATTTTTTGTCAGCGATTATAAATTATTTATAAATTTAAAAATGCAACAATCACTAGTACACATCGAAAAGGGTTGGTTACGTTTAATAGGGTCGATATTGAACAATTTATTAGGGAATCAAAAATTTTATGCAACAAAATTTTTCTTACGTGCTCATTCAAAAACAAAACCAATACTTTATATATAGTAAATCTTTTATATTAAAAAAATATTAAAATGTTATAAATTATAAAAATCAGTGAATTATTATTGTTATAATAGACATTTTCAAAAATTTTGATGTTAGTATATATTATGGGTCAAATTATGTTCTTTTCTAACATTATTTCAAACCTTAGGGTCAAGTTATATATTAAACTTAATTTTGGTCTGGATCAATCATATAACAAACAGGAATTTTTGTTACTGACCTATCTATGAAGTTTGCGGTATTCTGCTGCAACTGTCTGCTACTATTATTATTGATTATTTCTAAATAAAAAAACATTCTTATTATCATTAATTAAAAAACATTACAAATATTTTTTTAAATCCCTATGCTCTTTCCTAAATCCCTCCGCCATTTCCTGATATCCTGTGATATATTAAAATTTTTTTACCAAATTTGGTATAATGCGTATATTTAATAAAAGAATTAAATCATATTTATGAGTGATTCAACCTTTATAAGTACTGAACAGCCGGATTCTTATATTACGGGACATGTTAATAATTTAACTAAAGATCAAAACGCAATATTGAGATTATGTTGGTATTGTTTATTTCTTTTACAAGATCTTGATGATTTAGATAAAACTTCATCAACCAACAATCTTAACAACCAGTCATGTGTTGAAGTTATTGACTCAACTTTTAGGAATAATAACTTTAAAAAAAAAATAAAAGAATACAACACTAAACATCCAAATCCTGACAAAAGTAACGAGTTTTTTGAGCTTATTTCCAGTTTAGAATCTTATGAGCCTGGAGAATTAAGAAAAACATTATGGAGCTTCGTAGCAGCCGATGATCCTGATGTTACGATTCTTCGTTTTTTACGTGCAAGAAAATGGAATGTCGAGAGGTCATTATCAATGTTTGCAAAGACCATAAATTGGATGTCGAGTTTTGGTGTTAGAGATATAATAGAGGGAGGCGAAGAAGGAATGAGTAAATATTTTGAGAGTAAAGGTGTTAAAAATTTTATGAATCAATTTTCAAGTGGTAAAAGTTTTTCCAGAGGAACAGATAAAGATGGAAGGCCTATTTGGTAACTATTATTATTATTATTATTATTATTAAAATAATACAAACAACACACACAAACCAGCACACATACACATATTTTATAAAATGACTAATTAAAATGACCGAATTAATTAATTAGCAAAATATTATAAATTATTTATTTAATTAGTTATGTAAATGTGAAATATCATAAAAAAGATGAGCAACCGCTGGAAGTTCTTCAAAAATTTACAATTTATGTAATGGAGACTACTCGTTTATTCATTCAAGCACCTGTAGAAACTGGATGCCTTGTTTTTAATATGACAGATTTTAGTTTATCAAATATGGTAATTGGATTTGATTGATTTGATTATTTATGTGAATAAAAAATATTTTATTAAATAAAATTTTATATATGAATAGGATTTCCAGTATGTTAAATTTATGATTCAATGTTTCGAAGCATATTATCCTGAAAGTTTAGGCATTTTGATCATTCATAAAGCACCATGGGTATTCGGACAAGTTTGGAAGTTGATTGCTCCTCTTTTAGATCCAGTTGTTGCCTCTAAAATTCGTTTTACAAAAGAGGATAAAGATATTTTGGCCTTTATACCTGAATCGCATTTAATCGAAGAGTTGGGTGGCAAAGATAAATGGAAATACGAGTACTTACCACCAAAACCGGATGAAAACTATAGAATGAAAGACGAAACTACAAAAAGAGAAAAAATAGAAAAAAGAAAATTATTGGAGCTTGAATTTGAAAATTTAACTAAACAATGGATCGATGATCCAGATAACGAAAGAATAAAGAAAGAAAGAGATCAAAAGAAAATCCATTTGAGGCAGGCACAATTAGAATTAGATCCTTATATTAGAGCCAGAACTTTGTATCATCGTACTGGTATTCTTAAAGAGGATGGAGCTTGTGATTGGGGATATTCAGAAAAAATCCAAAAATGAAATTTTTATAATTTAACCTATTTATTTATTTATTTATATGTATTTTTATATAAACTTGAATATTAAATAAACGTGATTTCCCAAAATTTAAGATTGTTACACCAGAATATCAATTTCTGAAATGTGGTACGGAAGCGATGAAATTGATGATCTTTTTTAATTCTTAAAGAGAAAATTGGTATTTTTTTTTTCCAAAACCTAGTTAAATTATTAACACGATGTCCTTAACACTAAACACTTTGAAAAATAAGAAAAAAAACGAACTTAAAGGTATTTGAATCTGTAAGAAATTAGGGCTTATATATAAATCTTGTAGTTTATTATAGTGAATGGAATGAGAACTTTTCAATAACGAAACAGTTTATTTGTTCAGAAATCGCACAAGATCTTGGATTAAGCACCACTGGATTACGAAACGAACTTGAAAGTAGAATCAAGTATTAGTTTATTACTTTTTATTATCAGTATTATTTACTGTTACTTTTTTTTTGTCTAACGTTCTAATAATAATAAAATATCAAGAACTCATTTAGGTCTCAGAAATCCAGAGCTGTTATCAGAAAACGAAGCTCCACCACGTCGCTCTGGTCGCCAAAGAAACTTAAATAATACTAACACAAGATCTAGGCACTCTACCAATGGTGATAGGTTAGATATTATTTTTTCAAAAAAATAAATTCTGTGTATATGCTCTTATAAAAATCATTTAATTTTTTATATTCATTTATATTAAAAAGATCCAGCTCTGATGACGAATCTTTAAAATCAGTTGAAAACGAAATTAAACAGGTGAACAAATAAAAGCAATATTAAAAACTATATTGTTGTTTTGAATAGACAGTTAATTATTGCATCTATAATATTCATTATAGGAAATGATTATTAGTGAAACAATTCGATCAGTAACAGAAATTGAAGAAATAAATTTGGCTGAAACTAGTTCCCAACAAGAAAACCAAGAGAATCAAGAAATTTCACATATCGTTGGCCAACCCATCACTACTAATCTTAGTTTTTCCTTAAATGTTGAGAAGATCAAGAGTTATATTCCTAAATTGAGAACGGTAGACCATCATCATTTATTCTTATTATAGTTGACGCTCAATATAATGAAGTTTTGGTTTTGACAAAAACTTCATTATATAGTAGTACGATTCATTATATAAAAAGATCGTCACATAAATTTTCTAATTGTATATATATATGAATTCGCTGTTCTTATTATATGCGGTGTTTTTATTCAACCTTGTTTAATTATTTATTTTAAATATTTGAAATCCAGAATTTATCCAACCCTCAAGCATTTTTACAAATAATTTTTTTCATAGAATTTCTAGTATTTATTTATCATGCAATTGAATGGAATTATGAGGTTAGTATATCGAGATATTTTTAACAAATAAATGATGTTTATAAATAAGTGACATTGATTATCCATTATTATATCATCAGTCAATTTAATTAATTATTAATTATTAATTAATAAACTTTTTAAGATTACCACCATCTCGATTCCAAGTTTATTCGATGAAAAAACAAATAGCTATGGACTATACGCCCCAGACATTACTTTTTTCATTGATTGGCATAGATTTTGGCGTCCACTGATATGTCTTTTCTTTTATCTTCTGCTGTTACCTCTTGGCATTTCTTTCATCATTAATTTTGAGCCTCAACATCACACCTACAGTCCTCTTGTTTTTTCGGTTGCTAAATATGGAATATTTCTAATTTCTAACGGAAATTTTGATTGGGTTGAAGATATCCATGAATTTGTTCCGGATAATTTAATTTACACAGGAGCAGGAGCAGGGGTCATTCTTTCATTTTATGAAACCATTTTAAGAAAATAACAAATCACACATAAAACAATTATTATGATTATCAATTTTGAAGAAAATCTCATTTTATTATTTAAATTTATATAATAGATATTATTATTATTATTATTATTATTATTATTATTATTATCATCATTGTTATCAAGATTTTTTTTTCAGAATTTCTCATTTGAAATATGATTTGAACATTATTATATATATAGATTATAAATATAAGTTTGAATTGTAAATAAAAATCAATCTTTTATATATACATATATATGAAAAAGGATTTATTATCTTGATTCATCTATCACAAAACAAAGCAATATATTGATTGATTAAGCTATTATTATTGAGGTCTATGCTGATTAAGTTTGTAAAATTTATTTTATCTACCTTGTCTTAAAAAAGTCCTTTGTATATCAACTATTTTTAAAAAAAATTTTTATTAAAATTAAAAAAAACCAATCGACAATTATTTAACAAAAAAAGATTTTTACATTAATTTATATATATTTAAAAGAAAACCATGTATATAAATATAAATAAATATAAATATATTAATATATATATATATAAAAGATAGATTTTTTAAAAAAAAGAAATTAAAATAGGAAATTGTTCGTTTGGTTTTTTTGGAAAAATTTTTTTTGAAGTATCTAAAACTTATCACTTTAGATATAAAGAAAGAAATAATTTTTTTTGTATTTACAATATTTATATATATAATTATTGCGGACGTGGTTTAAATGATCCGTTGCGTGATCCTGTTTTCAATAATATATAATTAAAAAATAAACAAACATTATTAATACAAACTAATAAATATCATTAAGTTTTTTTTTATAGAAAAAACTAACCTCTTCCACCACGAGTCCCAACTCCATTACCACCACCACCACCACCGCCACCGCCACCACCACCACCACGAGGACCACCATGATAGCCGCCATTATTATAACCACCGTTATTATAATTGCTGTTATTATAATTGCTATTGTTGTAATTTCCACTATTATAACTACCGCTATCCCTTCTTTGACTTTGGCCTCCTCCTCTATTATTATTATATCCACCGTTGTTATTGCCACCACTGTTATTGTTACCACCGGTGCGATTACTATTATTGCGGTAAGCTGGGCGGTAACCTCTATTTGAATTACCTTGATTTCTTGGTGTTAATGGTGGGGGTTGAGTATCGCCAAGTTGCTTGGATACGAATTGTCTTATTTGCGGTTTGGATGATTGTTGGTTTTGTGATTCAGATTCAAAGGTTTGTTGTTGTGATAATACTATTGGCGGTGATTGTTGTTGTGTATCAGTTACAGATGTAGGTATAGTAGATATAGGCTCTGTTATCGATTGAGTTAAATTTTCGTCGTTTGAAATTTGAGTTGGTTGAATAACGTATTCTTGAGATGTTGTGACTGATTGTTCTTGTGAGATTTGCTGATTATTATCATCATTTGTAACTACGTCGACATTTGACGGTTGTTGTTGAGTTAAATTTGTATCATCATCGTGTTGATTTGATTGTTCAATGGGATTTTGTTCAGGGTAATGAAATTGCTGTGATATTTGTGGTGGTGGTGGTGGTGGTGATGCTTGATGTTCTATTTCAGCAGTTTGATTTAATCGTGCAGCTGCTATAGTATCGGTTACATCATCAGTTGCTAGCCGAACACTTTCTTGAACAGTTTGATTTTGTGAAGTTTCTTCGATTGATGTTTCTATTTCTGGTTGGATTTGCAATTTTTCATCTATTGGAATTAATAATCGTTAAGATTTCATTTTATTAGTAAACAACCGTATAATATAAAATAAAATTATTGTACCTTGATCTAAATCACTTTTATTGATATTAGATGTACTATTATTATCTTTGAAAGTGAAAATTTTAAATTAGTATATCGATAATTATATATATGTGTGTGTGTGTGTGTGTGTGTATATATATAGATAGATAACAAACCAGCATTATTTTCTGTTTCTTTGTTGATGATGACAAATTCTTCTTGGTTAATGTTGTTATTTGTGTCATCGTCAATATCTTCTTGTTCAAGCTGGACTTCGGTGGTTTCTAATATTGGTGGACTTTGTATCAATGATCTAACACGAGAGTCTATTAAAAAATTTTAGGATTAGCAATTAATCGACATATGTATAGATCATATTATTTAATTTTAAACAAAAAAAAAGGAGCTTACAAGTTATTTCTTGTTCCAAGTTGTTATTATCATTCTCATTTTTATTGTTAGAATCTTGTACGACGATACTATTTGTAAACAAATTCATAATAATATTTTCATCGCTATGTTGTAACTTATTAACATTATCCAAAATATCTTTGACACGTTGATCTTTCAACTCTTCGTTTTTGGCTTCTTCAGCCATTGTAGTAAGTTTAGCACGAAGCGTTTCAACCACTTCTGATTCCAATTCTGATAATTGAACGATGTTTAATTGTTGGAAGTGGACCAATCGGAAAAAATCAAGAAGAAATATGATGGATTCGGTGTGTTCATTCTAATATATTCATATTAATTATTAAGCATTAAAAATCAACAAGTTTAATTTAAATTGTTAATTAGTATAGATGAGGTTAAAAAGAAAAAAGAAAAGTCCTTAAAAGGTTAATAATTACCTTTGCTTCTTTGATTGCATTAGAAATGGCCTTTTCATTTTCTTCTTGTTGTGTCTTTTTTTGTGCCTTTTCTTTTTTGACCTCCTGTTCATGTGTTATTTTTAAAAGAAAGATGTCAATTAAAAATATTTTTCAATCATATACATTTATACATATACATGCACATATATAAATTTTTATTAACGGCAGTTAACCTCTTTATCAACAGCTTCCATTGATTTCAAAATATCTTCGGATTGTTTAATCACTGCAGCAAGTTCACCTTTTTTTTCGAGTGAATTAAGTTGATCGGCATTTAATTGATTTTTACCATCAGGAGTAGAATTAGCAATTTCTTCATATTTTTCAACTCTGACCTATTCGTATATATATAAACAGATAAATAGATATTTTTTAACAATATATATTTAGAATATTATTCTTTGTTAAAAATATCATGTTATACACAAAATATAATAAATGTTAAATAACAAACAATCATATACACATATCCATATCCATATCCAAATCCATATATATATCATTGTTGTTATTATACCACAATTACTATTATCTGATTTACCCGATTTGTATTCATATATATATAAAAGAAATATAATAACATACCATGCGCTTTCTCATAGCTCTTAATCTTTTATAAATTACCTCCATGTAAGGGTTTTTGTTAACGTTTTCAAGTTCGCTGTTTTCGGTGGTGGCAGGAGTAATTGGTGAGAACTGTTCTTGAATTGAACCATTACTGTTAGATTTTTCTGTGTTAACAGCCAAATTTTTATTTTTATTTTTCTTATTTTTTTTAGATTTAGAGGTGGGAGTAGGGGGGTTATTGGTGTTAACGTCTTGGACAGGTATGGTTGAGGTAACGTTTGGCATCTTTTAAATCTTTTGTTGTTAAAAAAGATTTTTTCAAGTAAATTTGTGATTGGTTAAAAGATGATTAGTTTTGAGAGAAAAAATATATTGTTCTTTTTGTAATTTGGTTTTTTTTTTTCAAAACGAGTATTAACTGTTTATTTAGAAAAAATTTTCTTTATAAAAAAAAAAAAAAAGTATGATGTAAATGTTTCAATCATTCATCCAAATCATCCAATAATATGAATTAGGAATTAATTTATTCGTTGTAACGATATTCACTATAACGAATTAATATTGTGTAATACATTTATTTTCTCAAAAAGAAGAAAATTTTTTAGTAATTTAAATTTCATTTTTGTGAACCTTTTTCTTTGTTAATATTTAATAATTTCATTCTTTTAAAAAGACTTTTTTTATTTTTTGATTAGACAAATTTGATTTAATTACATTATATGCATTTATTATCATATTAAATTTTTAATAACAATAATGGATCAGCTGGCTACTGAAAACATCGTATTGTCATATAGTAATAATTTTACTGCAACCTCAAGTAACAATACTTCGATACGTGTTGCAAGAAGGAATGTCATGGTGCACCTCCGAAATTCCTCTCTTCCTGCTTCTTATTTTAGTCGAGTACAAAATTCTTCCTCCTCCTCCCCTTCTCCCCCCTCAAATCAGAATCATCGTCGTGTATATAGTGTTAAAGATAACAATAGTAAATTCAAGTCGATAGAACATTTAAGTATCAAATCACAAAATAATCAAGAAACATTTTATACAAAACCTTTAATAAATGTCAACAGCAACAATAATGATGTCGAACCATCGTCGTCATCATCTTTATCATCTAATCAAACAGCCGAATTCATTAAAAGCAGCAATGTTTATAATTCAACGTCGTCACTTTCATCCTCTCCATCAATTAGATCTGTTCACCAATTCAAGCATATTCACAAAAAACGTTTATCAAGGACTATTCAACATATTTCTTCCTTTTTACAAATAATTGCAAACGTTTCTTCTTCGATTTCTTTTCCTGTAACGGTTGAAAAAACTTATACAGTGGAAAGATTAGCAAGACAAATAGAAGCTGAATACGCATTTAAATATGGCGGAATTGAGCATAATGGGTTATATGAACCATTGGAGGTTGGATTATTATATGATGTTAGTATGGTTGCTTTACGTTTTAGAGATTTTGTAGGCGATGTTTTAGAGCATGGTGATGTTGTTAATGTGCTTAATATCTATGAAGGTATTTAAATATCATTAATTAAAGTATATAAAAAATAAATTTTTTGTTTATTTTTTAATCAATAATTTTCTTAAACTTTTTAAAAGGTTATAATCATAAAACCATTATTGCACTTGAAGATGTTGAAGGTATTGAAGGTATTGAAGATGTTGAAGGTGTTGAAGGTGTTGAAGGTGTTGAAGGTGTTGAAGATGTTGAAGGTGTTGAAGGTGTTGAAGATGCTGAAGATGAAGAGGATTGCGATTTCAAAAGTTTTGGATACATCTTTGAAAATATATCTTTATTATCATCAGATTTATCTTTAAAATCAAGATCAAGAGAAAGCAAAAGATTTAATTTACCTATTTCACAAAATAATCAAACAGAAAACATCGTTGATGAGTCAATTAATGATAATGATAGTAACGACAAGGACAATGATGACATTGACGTCGAGAAAAATGTCAATGATGATAATAATAATATCAATAATCTACCTCTTCAAAATTCTCATCATTTACCATCGCTTCCTATGTTTTCTACAACTGAATCAACTACAAATGATACATCAAGTTCTTCAGCTGCCATGTCCCATAATTCTCTAAACTATACTCAAGGATCCGAAGCTCTTTTTCAATCTGTACTTTCTAATACACTTGCTATTAAATATTTTCAAAAGTTTGCTATTCGTGAATTTTCTGTAGAAAACTTATTATTTTGGTTAGATGTAGAACTTTTTGCAGCAGGCATTTCTTGTGAGATTGAAGATAATTACTTTGAAGAACAACAAACTGCTGTCATATATGCAAAATATATTTATTTAACTTACATTAGTCCAAACGCACCATTACAAGTTAATCTTAGTGACGAGATAAGAAAAGATATTCCTTGGCCAATAGATGATGATTCTGATGTAGAAAGGAATATTTTTGACGAGGCGCAAGAAGCTGTTTATCAATTAATGAAAGGTCATACTTTCGTCAGATATGAGAATGGTTCCGAATGGAAAGAATGTGAAAAAATAAAAATGCAAGAACCTGAAAGATATCAAAATCATGAAATGACAGCAAAGCTTGAAAATTATTTTCGACCAAGCATGTCGCTTATGCTTGCTGTTACCACGACTCTTGATAATGGTACAGATCAACCACCAATGTCACATCATTATAAAGAACAAACGCTTCATTCCATTTTATCTCAATATTTCCCTGATACTGTTCTCCTTGACAATACAGGAAAGCGAGCCGAACAAGAATACAGTCAATCAGTTACAGATGATTCTGTTTCAACAATAAGTGGTTATTTTGATTTAGAAAATATAATGACAAATGCACAAAAAATGAGAAGGATCAAAAAGGAGAAAAAACTTAAATGGCTATTTGGTGAAAAGGTTAAGAAGACGGAAGATCAAGTTGTTGTATTACCAGATGGAAATCTTTATGGCGATGGTAAATTAAGTTTTGGTGATGATGATGATAAAAGAAGTGTCTATTCAACAATATCTGAAAATAAGAAATCAACAAAAGAAGCTTGGAACAGAAAGAAGAAAGTTGATAAGTTGGAAGCAATTTTTGGAAAAGGATTGAGAGATTCTCAACTTTATTCGCAAAATTTAATAAAAGATAAAGGAAATTCTAGAACTGCTCTGACTGAATTATCAAGAATTAATACTAATATTCATAATAATCATCATTATGGTAATGATGATAATGACGATGGAGCCAATTTATTCATTAACAATAACAGTGATAATAATAATTTTAATTTACAAACAACGAATGAATTGAGTACAAAAGATAGAAGGATTTTATTGAAAAAAAATAGGAAATTGCAAATAATGCTCGGAGAAGCTTTAGATGAAAATATGGTTAAACATGCTCTAAAACTTCCATTAATTCAATCAACTCCTAGCACTTCGCCTTGTCAAGAAAGGTATTTTGAAGCGGATAGACTTTCGGTGAATTATCAATACGAGGGCCGCAATAGAATTAGCAACGCGGGATCATACATCAAGCAACGTATTAGTAGACGTGCATCAGACTCAATGATTACATCTACTACACCTAACACTAATAACAATGACAAAAACAATAATTGCAATAATCCAAAAGTAACGATGGCAACGTCACCAAAAAGCCCACACGAAAACAAAAATTATAAAACAAGCACAATTGATAATGATCTAAATGATCCTTTGAATAGATTCAATATTCCATTGATTGTTATTGACAAAGACACGAAGGAATATAGAAGAAAAAAATTGCAAAAACTTCACCAATTTTTAGGTGAAAGAGTACCTATAGATATTGTATTGGGAGAAAAAGATTCTTCGATTTATCTGCCACCACCAGCAGGCGAATTAAAATTAGCAGTTAAACCCAAAAGTAAAAAACATAGGCCTCCACCATTATCATCATACAAAAAAAATTCACTGAATGGTGATTATTCTCATAAGGATCAACAAAACCAGCAACAGCAACAAGAACAACAATTGAATTTTAATAATAACAATATTGCTACAAAGTTATCACCATTAGATAAAAAGCGACATTTACAAAGAGCAGTAAAATTAGAAAAATTGTTTGGGGAAATACCGCCACAAGATCTTTTATTGACAACATCTTCACAATCAAGATCCAAACATGATTCGATATCCAGTTTAGATATTCATCGTAAAAGCATTATGTCACTTGAATATTTGATGGAAAATGATAGAGAAACAATTTACGATTTGATTGATTATATGTCAGACAATGAAAAAGAAAACCAACGAGATTCGTTGGAAATTGAAGAAGATTATGATTTAAATATTATATCTTCTTCTGCGCCAGCTACACCACTAGAAACCTCTTTAACGATGGATTTTGACTTATTGTCTTCAAAAGAATCAACACAATCACATCAACACTTAAAACATAAACAATTACGATTAAGAGGTATACGTAAATTATCACATTTTTTTGGGGCAACATACGGACAAATGTTTCCGGAACAAGTGTTGAGTGAATTATTAGGTGAACTTGAAGGAGAGATAAGAGAAGAAGCAAAAAAAGATGGCGAGGTTGATAAGGAATTGATAGCAGGATTGATGGAACAAATCGAAGAACTAAGAACAAGAAGTAGTGAATTAGCAGATTCAGATGTTGAAACACGTAGAGGATTATGTTATTAATATTTTTTTTTTTTTGTAATTAATATTTTTGTTTATATGTTAATATTTTAAGCTTCAATAATGAATTTATATACATATTTAATATTAATGTACATTATTATTTTATATACTTTCATAATAATAATAATAATAACAATAATAATAATTAATAATAATAATAATAATAATAATAACAATAATAACAATAATAACAATAATAACAATAAATCTTTTTTTTATTCAATTTTGGTGCGGCAAAAATTTCTAATAACAATAATAATAATGATGATAATAATAATTAGATGATGATAATAACAGATAAATTTTTTTGGTCCCAATGATCCATTATAGAGAGTGTACTGTATAGCAATTTTTTATTAAAAAAAAAAAAGTGAAATGCCACAATTATTAATTATTTATTAATATTAATTTGCAATTTTGTGATAAATAAAAATAAAAAAAATCTATTTTAAAATATAATGTATTTATTTATTGTTGTTGGGTTTCTTTTTTTTTCCTATGTTTATCAACATAACCTAGAACTCTTTTTCTATCCCATCTTGTTTTCTCAATTGCTCTGTTAATTTGATCCTTGGTTGGTTTAGTATACATTTCAACAAGAGGATCCAGGATGGAATGCTCATGTTCTGTTGTTCTTCGTCTCTTATTACTACTTTCACCTTCTTCAATTGGAACAGAAAGATCAATAGGATTATTCTTAAAATTAGATGGTCTTTCAGTTGCTTCTATATTTTCTTCAAGCTTTTCCTTTCTCTTTTTTTTTGAATAAATTTCAACAAGTTTTTCATATATACTTTTACATTTGTTGATCTACGACCAATTGTATTTATCTCTCCAGTTCCATAAACTTCTTGGTTCAATAGGGTTTCCATCCTTCTTTTACCAATATCATAACTATTGAAAAGTGAATTAAAACCATCAGTTGTTAACTCAGGTGCCTTTTCAATTAAATGATGAGTCATATTTGAATCAAAATTTTCAAACAGATCTAATAAATTTGTTGTTAATTTCCACAATGGTTCTTTAAGTGAATTTGCTTTGTATTTCCCTGGATTTTTTTTTTTGGAATCTACAAATTCAAAAAGAAAAGAGTTCAGTCGCTCTTTCTCATCTTGTACAGATTTTATTTGTAATTTAAGTGATTCTTCATCTGCTAGTGATTTTGTAATGAATTGTTTGACAAATTTAACACCACAAGTTTCCAAGGCTTCATCAAACCCAAGATAATGATCAAGTCTTGTTAAATTAATTGAAGAAACAGTTCTTAAAATGGCATCAAGTTGAGGATCCTTATTAATCATAGCTAAAAAATGACAAACTGATGTTGCATAATTCACTTTGCCCGCAACAGGAAACAAGGGACCAAATGCTCTTAAACTTTCTATTTGAAAATCCCAATTTCCTATTCTGATACCTAATTTATGAAACCTCAATAAACTCGACCACCTCCAGTACAAAATCCATACTTTAATGAAACTATTTGGAGGATTCTCTAAAAGCTCATCAATAGATACTTGATGTTTAGTTGTAAAAATACTTAAAGCCGTGCCTACTCCTACCCAAATCAATTCCAACAGCCTTGAGGTTGCCCTGTAATCAACTATTTTTTGAAAATTGGCCAAGTGTTTAGCACCAAAAGCTTTTGCTAAATTAAAAATCCCATATCCTGAAAAAATGTTGATGAGCACACTACACATATCTTTATTAGTGTGCCATTGGCCCAGAATATGACGAATATGAATATCAGGATTTATGATTTTTTTGTAATTTATAATCCTTCTGAATATTGCCTCATCAGCAGCTATATCCAAAAAACCATCAGCTGTATTAATTTCATCCAGAAACATTTCGATTGATTCATAAATGCCCTGATCATCATCAGGCTTTCCACCTGCTTCTAAAATCACAACTTTTGGTGGTGGTACTAATGTTCCTTTTGGAATATGTTTAATGATTTCTTGATAGATTTCCTCATCATCAACTTTATTAAAACTTGCACCACTTAATGAGGTCTGATAATTTAATAATCTTTTAAAAAAATCCTCAAAGAGTTTTATTTTTTCAGAAGAAAATTGATTAAATCCAAATATGGTTTTTTTTTCATAAATCATTGATTCTTCACCAACAATTTCACAAATAGGTAAAGGAAGAATAAAAAAAAAGCATATTCTAAGCACAACATGGAATGATGTTCTTCCTTCATTATAATAATTATTATGCTTGAATGTTTTTTTGTTTTGTATCTAAATTATCTATGACAACTAATGGCCAAATATTAGGACCACTTATAATTCTAGATTTAGGATCAACCTTTTCCATTCTTTTTATTTCCAAATGATGTTCATGATCTTCAGTATGTGATATTACATGAAGTGAACGTAATATCAACTGAAGTGATCCTAAGAATTGGGGTCTTCTGCATAAACTTGCAAATAAATTTGTAAACCAAATCTTAGATCTCCTAAAAGCCATTTTTATGATGATAGATGATAAAAAGGTAGTGATTTTAATTAATTGCATTGGATCTTGTTCTGTATCATCAATCTTTGTTTTTAAATTGTAATATTTTCTTTTATATTGCCTCAACTCATGATGATGTTTTAATATTACTCCAATAAAGCCATCAAAAAACATAGTAATCACTTTTGGAATTGCTTGGTAATTTTCCATCAATGAATTTGGCTTAGCAAGTTGCTGTTGATGCTCATTAATATTGTCACCAATTAATTTTGGGAGAGTGTATTTTAATTGATGATAACAGATTTTTATTAATTTATGTGGATCAAATGAATAGGCTAATACTAACGAATTAGATTTATTAGTGAATAATTTTGTTTTAGTGATTTGATAAAAATGATTTATTTAATTTTGTATTAGTGATTTGATAAAAATGATTTATTTAATTTTGTATTTAGTCGAAACTAATTATTAACTTATTATTAAGTTAATTTGTTACAAAGTTATTCTTCGATTACAGCGAATTCTCATTCCTTATATACATGTTTGATTATATGTATCCTAGTTTAGGATAATTAGCCTAGATTAAGATATTTATCCTAATTCAAGATAATTCTCCTAAGTTAGGATAATTCTCTCTTTCCAGGATAATTATCCTTCTTTGTACACAGGATAATTCTCCTAATCTAAGATATATATCCTGATTCAGGATAATCTTCATTAATTTCTACTAAATAAAGGTCTAATGCGAACGTGTTACTAATTAATTAATTGAATCATTCGGAAATTATTACAAAATAAAAATAGGATAAAATAAATAATAGATGAAATAAATAACTAAAAATAAATAATAAATAACTAAAAATAATAAATAAATAAAATAAATAATATAAATAATATAAAAATAATATAGAAAATGTTACTCCAGATTTTCGGGGTTATTGATCAGCGAATTAAGGTCCAATTCGCATTCCGGTGACAATATGTTTTCTACTTTTTAATATAAAATTGCCTAGAGATTCTCCATAATTAAAAGATTGATCTGGATTTAAATTACCCTTTTGTTTTTCATGTAATTTATCAGCACCTTTTAGTTGCAAAATTGTATTGATTAAAAATGGGCTTGGCAAATGTGAAGGGGTTTCTTGATAGGGTTTTTGAGGAGTTTCATTATTATTCCAATGTGCTACTAAAGAAGGCAAAATGTTGGATAATAACTTTTGTTTTTCTTCAAAATTGTTTGAGTTTGCAACATCTGTGATCCAGCTTCCAATTTTCCTTAAAGCTTGCTCCAAATCATTTTTATGTGAGCATTTTTTTGATGCTTTTCCTTTACCTGGTGGATTATAAATATGACATTCATTTTTATAACAACAATCTTGACAAATATATCTAGGGAGAGCATTAGCAATATTGTTGGATTTTTTGTTTAAAATTCATTAATTGTAGATGGACATGTAAATTGACAAATGCATGATGTTAAGATCTTCCTATCACTTATTTGCCAAGAATGTTTATCACAATAATTGCCTCTTGAATAAATATTAAAAATCTTATAGCAGAATAAACATCTCTTTGATAGCATTTTGCTTGATTAACTAATTTTTCCTGTTTTGATCCACTATGATGATATGAGGGAGTTTGATCTAAGTTAAAATGATACTTATAGACTCCAAGTTTTCCTAACTCCTTATCTGCATCCTTGACACTAACTTCATTAATTTCCCATACCCCAATGCATTGTTGTAGCCTTCTATAACTATTTTGAGTGCAAGGCATGCTACATCCTTTTTCTAAATCAAAAATCATTAAAGAACATTGTGGAAAATAGTCATCTCGAATAAATTTTTTTAATTCGAATTATGATAAAAAAATGAAGATCTATATTTTTTTAATTTGAACTATTGACGTGTGCACCATAATTTTTTTCCCTTTTAAAAATGGAATTTCCAACTCAAGGGAATCAATGTTCATTTAATACTTGCAAACAACTTGGTAAATTAAACTCAAACTATTAATTTATATTCACAATTGTTAACCTGTAAAAAAAAATTAATAATAAATTATTAATAATAATTTGTCAAAGAGATTTCTTACCATTTTTATGTGCTAGTTGTAAATTAAAATATTGGTTTGTATTTTTATTGATTCAAATATACATATATATTTTTTTTTAAATTAAATAAATAAGCAAATATTATCAAAAAAAAAAAAAAATAAAGTTTGGATCATAGATATCCAGATTCTCATCAATGTTCACATTGGGAAATTGACAAAAAGGTAAGCTGATATATATAATATTTATTATTGTGAAAATTTATTTTTTACTTATTACATATAACAAATAGAACGCAGAAGTATGCTTGAAATGTTCCAGAATGATTCTAATTCCACAAGGCAAATCTAACAAAGAAATTGTATATATCATTGGTAATGATTATATTTTTATAGCATTTAAGTGTACATGTTTTTAATCAAACAAGAGCTTTGATTTAAATTTAGTTAGAGGAGCATCACTCATCAATCTGTACTCTGCATCTACTTTCTACTTCTGAATTATTATCCAAACAACAATGCAAACTCATTGAATGTACTAACAATGGTGATGGTTCATTGGTTTATGTGATTTGTGATGGATGTGGAAATAATTTTTGTTTAAAGTAGGTAAAGCAAGTAAATAATTTACAAGCGAAAGAAGAAGGCAAATGTTTTATTTTATTAATATTTTTTTATTTTTCAAATAAATATATTAAAGACATCGTCACCCATTGGCTCATAATTGTTCTTCATTGAATGCTAACTCTGAGAAAAAAGCAAAAAGGCGTGCTTTTGCAGAAGAGATGATAAAAAAATATATTAAAACCCCTGGTAATGATATTAAAAGTAGTGATAGATCTTTTGGGGGAAATGATGATACAAAAACATTGTCAACAACAAAAAAAACAACTAGTAGCATCAACAGTAGCAACAATAATAATAATAGTGGTGTTAGTAATTCAATAACAAAAAAGAAGGGTAATAAAAAGGTTGAATTAATGTTAATGAAATCTAAAGCCCAAGTAATTATAAATATAGATATGTTTATTTCTTATGATAAAAAAAGGTTTATATACTAAGAAAGCATTAAATCATAATAAATATTTAGGGTAATTCCTCAATACCAATGACAGATAGATTATATCTTTTGGTTAATTTTCCAAGTGATTCGAATTTAGCTTCAAAGCCTTTATTCTTCAATAAGGTAATTTAATTGTAATTTCTTTTTTCACATGCCAGAAAAAATCATAATAATAAAATCTAAATTTAATTTATCTGAAAGGATTGGTCAGTTGGAAAAGTTCTTGATCAGATTGCAATAATTGGTAAAATCAATAATAACAACAATCATATTTCAATGAATGATCCAAAAGTAAGCAATTTATATTTATATATTATATTTATATTATTATATTTACATTTATATTTATTTTTATATTTATTTTCCAGAGATTGGTGTTAATAAACAAAAAATCAAATTTAACCTTAGAATCAAACAAAAAATTAGAAAATGTTGTTGAGAATTGTGATGATGTGGTTTTGGAAAAATTAGGAAATTTAAATGAATTATTGATTTATCCAACCAACAATGTATCGTAATAAATATTCTTTGATTCATTACATTATCACTGCATATGCTCATTCAATATAGTACCCTTTTTTTAAATTGTTGTGTGACAAAGTGAACATTCTGTTCAAAAAAATTTTTTATTAGTATTAGTGGTGGAATTTTGCTAAAATTTAGAAATACTTTGCTTGATTCCATGTTATATTACAGCACAATCAATTGGTTGTAGTAACAATTGGTCAGCTTCAAAATACTAAAAAAAAAATTTCATGTTGCTTTAAGGGTGCTGACACATATTAACTAATAGCTTACCCCCATCCCAGAGACATTTTGATCACGTGTAGGTATCAACAAAGCACAAGTGAATTAATTTTATTTAATAAATAAATCAAACATTTTAAAAGCAACATTGAAGTAAAAAAATTTTCCTTTATAATATATTATGATCTCTTGAAAATTCCTGGGTATGATTTGCATTGACTATTTCTTGACCAAACAACCTATTTGGTTCCGAGTGTATAATAACTCTTACTTATTTGAAAATTACAAACAATGCATCCTGTTAAAGGAAAATCTAAAGAACAAAACTTGAGGATTCTTGATGATTTCTCTCTTCTCAATCACAACCAAATTGACCTCTTTTTGACAAAATATATTTAAGGAAATGTATATCAGATAAAGAATGATCAATTATAGCATTTATGTATATGAGAATGTGAGAATTTTATAAATATTACAGTCGACCCCCTAAATGCATCCCCATAAATGCACACCATCTCTAAATGCATGCACGGTTCCCAACTATATAAAATCATCCTCCCTAAATGCACGCCCGTGAATTTCACGTGATTTTATGTATAACATTAATTTGGGTTTGACTTAATTCCCAAAATCTCAATTCTTGACTCAATTACCTATATGTTTTTCATATGACTCAATTAATTGCACCCAATTGAGCATGTTAGCCAAAGTTGGCTCTCTTAATAAATGATCATCACTGAATTTGAAATAAGGTTACTTGCTGAAACCTCTTAATGACTGACAAAACTCTGAAAAAACTAATGAACAATTAGTGTACACCTTGTCAAAACTCTGATGATTGACATAACCCCCAAATACGAAACTCTGCCAAAACCAAAACTCTAATAAACAATTAATGTGTAACTTGTTGGAACTCTGTCGATTGATTTCTGGAGGAGTTTCGTCCACAACCTTAATCTGAAATGGCGAATTAATTTACAAAGATGCTGAAATTAATTTTATTAGTTGCCAAATTATATCTGAAAAGAATATTGTAAATCTAAAATTGCTTGCCAAAATTGATTTTTTAAAAAACCATTTTGGCTAACATTCTTATCAACCTATTTTATACAAGTTTGGAAACTGTCCATATAATGAAAAGCAAATGAGTTAATTCTCTTGAAAAATATATTAACCTAAAAAAAATAAATACAATGGAACAAATCACAATAGATAGATTCATGATTAATAAGATAGAAGACCAGGTAACATAAAATTTATTGTCAAACCCCCTCCCCCGAATTTATATACCTTCAGATTGAACTGTTATATCAGTTATAAAATTTTTTATTTCAAAGGTATATTTAAACAAAATTTATAGTAAGAAAAAGCAGATATATATAAAAAAAAAGAATTCATCTCCATCTAACCTACCTCCTTGTTTACCACCTTAAGTGAAAAAATTAATTCAATTCACTTTTTCTTTTTTTTTTTTTTTTTTTACACATACAATGACAGATAATCAAATAGAATTTGAATAAATAAATGGAACTAAAAATAATTTTTTTTTACGCAATTTGTACATTACCTTCCACCCAACCCTCTTAACACCTTCCTCCACTTGATAAGTCTGTTCATGTGATTTTTGTAAATCTTGAGATAAGCTTTATTATTTTATAATTCAGTTATAAATTTTAATATTTTATTATCTTACTATTACAGCAAGAGACTACATTGGGATTGATTGCGACATATTATTGTTTTTCGGAAATTGTTTTGGCACTTATTGATTACCGGATCAGTTAAAATTGTTAAATTGAGATTGAGTAAACTTTATGGACTCTGGTTTAGGAACTGAAATGCCCACCAACATCTAATAAAATTGCTTTAGAAGGCATCCAGAGCCTATATAATTACTTGTAACAGAATAATGATACATAGTCAAACCTTGTTACAGCGGATGAACGAGATACATATGAATATTAATATTATATGAGAAGCAAAAATTTTAAAAGCCGTTATGACAAGAATTTAATTATTATTATAGTCCGCTGTGACAAAGTTTGACTGTGCGTGAAAATCAAATTTGCGTCAATTTGAAATTTTTTATTAAAATTGAATTTCACGCGCGTGAATTTCAAATTGACGCAGATTCCAAATTCACGCACAACGCAAGATTTAAAATGGAAAATTGATGGAAAACAAATAATTTCTTTAATACAAACCGGTATGGATATTTATTTGTTGTTTTTTCTTCTATCTGTTTATTAAATTCAATTATTATTATTGATCTTTGTTTTTGTTTTGCAAAATTGCATATTTTGATAAGTCGGACCACCATGCCCAGCCGACTTATCGAGTTTGCCTATTTTATTTTAAATTCTAACCATTGCACAAAAGTTATATTAATTAATTATTTCTGACATTTTTATCCATTTCGGAAAATTTATGCACTACTTCTGGGAAGGAAGAAATAATTTTTTTTTTTGATTCTCTCTATAATTAATTAATTATTTTGTGAACCTCAGAGATCTGGATAGACATACATTATTGTTTTGAAATCAGATTCCTTAAAAAGTTTAATTTTGCATGGTCTTGGTATTATTTATTACTTGGGCGATGTAATTGTTTGTTTTATGTCAATGATGATATAAATGCATCGAATAATCATTGTGATGGATGCGGAGACAAGGAATTCACATATGAGAAAAGGATTAGATAGTAATATCATGTTTGTTTTGTTTTATTTTTTATCCGACCAAGATATATTTAAAAAACAAAAAATTGCCAGAATAATTGATTGCACGGAATCCAAGGTTAAACTGGTGTTTCCGATCATTAATCCCCCCTTTTTGAATAATCAAATATTAATATCCGAAAAGAATTATGAATATTCGAAATACATCGGATGATTTTTGGCAATGGATGGAATTTCAAATAACCACAAGCATTTCAAATAGTCATAAAATATTAGTTGTCATTTGTCAAGAAAGATTTCAAATTGAATAATAATAATAATAATAAGTATTTTGAACAGTCACAAGTATTTCCAATAGTCATAAATATTTCAGATATTTCGAATAATGATAGATAATAATTATGAATATTAATAACACTTTTATTTTTGATCAGAAACCCTAGATTAAGCCAACCACATTATTACATGTTTCAAGATCAATCAAGCTATTATTTGAATACATTGATGCCCTGTTGTAATCTTATTGAAGAATATATCATCTTAATGAGCCTTTTCTCATAAAGAGCTGTATACGACCACTCAGTTGCCCTTTCGAAAAAATCTGAAACTGATCTGTAAAATCTCTTTGACTTACTTGTTATTTAGTTTCTTTCCCTTATCATCATCTTTTGGATAATAACAATCATTTTCAGTATTTGTTTTGTCCCTTCGAACTTGGAACAAGAAGGAAGTATATTTAAATAAGATAAACTAGAATGACAACAACGGGTTGCATTGATCACTGCCATTCTTTTAACAATAACTAGAAGGATGAGTCACGTGCAACCACACCACTGTTCTATTTAATAATAAATAAATAACACCGTTTTTTCCAACAAGTTCGTTTTTGCGTCTTGACTTTTTTCTTTTATCAGTCACAATTAATTATTATTATTACAGTATTATAAACGGTTTATGGGTCGTAGAAAGAAGCCTCCATTATTATTGTTATTTTTTTTTTGTGGGGGGGGGGGGAATTTCTTACCTTGTTATTTTTTTATATAAATAAACTTGTATCGCTTTACTTTGCACATAATCATTAATATTAATAATAAGATGACAAAGGATAAAGAAGAGCAACATGATTATTGAAAAGAAACATTTGATGCGAAACAATTCAATATGAACATTTGATTATAGGCATACTGGCAGATGTCAAGGCACACGCACTACTTTGAACACTTGCAGTTATTCCCTTACATTCCTTGTGTTCATAAGGCTAATCTGACTGCAAGGCCCTCGATGATATGATGATGCAATTGAATTCCAAGGGGGGAGGAGGAGGTAAGTACTGGAATCTATTGAGATTGTATTGTTGTCATCAAGGATGCTTCGTGAATCTTCCCTCACACACCTGGGCAGGCATTACCCGGATATGTATGCTGGCCGAAAATTTTTCCGCAATGATCTCACCTTCTGGGTAAAGATAGCTGGCTCTGCAACCAACAAGTTGCAACTATGCTGAAAAGTTGTAATGTTAGGAAAGGCAACTCTAGGTGTACAATTTGGATTTTGGTATGTTCTGTGCAAATTAATTATTCCTGAAATTCGAGGAGGGGTGATTGAAATAATATGTAATATAGTGTAGACTATTTATTTCATCTAGGAAATGTAGCTAGTAGTGTTGTAACCTCCTAAATTGCAGACACCAACTTTACTCCCAGAGGGAGATAACACACATGAGTGCTGACTCTTGTTAGTGACCAATGCTTATATGGTAACAGCTAAGCATGGTCTGGGGGGAGATTAGGGAAAATTTTGTCAATCTTATAAAAGCTTTTCAATATGTTTAAGACTCTTTCACCTGTGGAATAAATTCCATGGTGTCCTAATTGTCGATCATTATCTAGATTTATTTATTGTTTTTAAGGAACTATATATAATTGGGAAGGAAAATTTTTTTTTATCCTCCCTTAACAGCACCCAGTCAAACTTAGTCCAAGGAAGGAACAGATTTATTTATTTATTTATTTTTTATTTTGTTAGTTCCTTAAAAGGTATCATTTCTGTATGGTCTTGCTTGGTATTATTTATTACGCAATTGTTTGTTATGTCAATTATAAATTGAATAATCATTGTAAACATTATAATGGATATGTTCAAGAAAGGAAGGATTAGAGAATAATAGAAAGCCAAGTCTTTTATTTATTTATTTTATTCTACCAAGATATATGTGTATATTATATTAATATGTATCTATTATTTTTTTTTTTTTTTGATGTATAAAAAAACAATATTTGCATATTTTCAATTCTTTGCCCATAACGTTTTGTAATTAATATCATTCATTACATTGCCTGAAATTATTGGTTCACATTGTCTGGTTTTGTTGCGGCATGACCTTTCTTTTCATGGAACAGCAAAATCAATTTTTTTTATGTTGTTGTTGCACTATTCTGTATATAAAAAAAAAAAAAAAATTTTGTTTAATTGGTTGCATTCGTATATCAATTCCAAATTTGTGTAAATAATAATAATTTTTTTTTTTAATATTAACATTTAAACATAATTTTGTTACACCAATTTAAATTTCGTTTAATTAACAACCCCTCTCATTCTCTCACTCTCTCTCTGTAATAATTAATAGGAACATTTTTAGACTAAATTTTTTTTGGATTTCAAAGGAAAAAAAAACTTTATTAGGCTGTGTTTTTTCCGATTTTGGGCTAACAGCTTATTTACCAATTTTCTTCCTTCCTTATGGGTTTTTTTAATGAATGATGCACTAATAATTAGACCAATTTTGCAAGAATAGCTTATTTACCAATAAAAAGAAATTTTTATGTAGTTAATTCACATGTGGTATTATCATGCATTTTTTTTTGTCAGGAAAATCTAAGGATATGCTATGCGCATGATCACGCGCACGATGCGGCGTGAAAATTTTATATGTATTACGATTTATTTTTAAAAATGCCCACTAAAAATTTAGAAATGGTGGTGGTGGATGGGCGACTAATTAATTAACTGGCCATCAACAAAAGTCATGCTAAATGCAAAATATTGCGCTTTACGAATTAAATCAATCAAACTAGTCCAAGGTGTGAAAGTTGTTAAAGAGGTGCAAAACGGTTTCATGTTCAGTCGTCTAATCTAGTATCAATTCTGGATGAATTAATATCATCGTTAACTTTTTCCGCCCATGACAAGAGTTTGGGATCACTTGATTTTAATTAAAAAAAAAAAAAAGAAAGGGGTGAATAAAAAAATTATTTTTCTTTTTTTAAATATTAAATCTGAAGGACATTTTTCCCTCAGAGTGAAGATAATCAGATAATCAAAAAGTTCATATACTCCATTAAGGCAAATTTCTTTTTCATGAAATAAACATATTGATCCTTTTTTATTATGCAATTTTTGGAACTCAAATATTTTTTATAATAATAATAATGAATCAGAGAAGGTTTAATTTAATTAATCAAAAGCATATTTGTTGATTCATCTACTGTGATACCTATTATTTATTTAATTCACTAATACTAAATTAACTGTAACAATTTCTCAAATTGACAATTAAAATCCACTTTGATATTTCTTTTTTGAAAATATTATACATTTTTAATTTTGCATGTAATTGTTGAAAGTTTGTCAAGTTTTATCACCTATGATTATAAAAATCATGAATTGTCTTGCCCATATATTTAGTAAGAGATGTGGTGGATTGAACATGAAAAGTTTTGAAATATTGAAATATAAGTCCAACATTTATTCATCAGTTTGAAAAAACCAGATGGAATTCCTGGTTTTTTGCATATTTATTTGTTTGTGCTGTTGCATCGAGTCACAAGGGGAAGTCCTTATTTCATCAACTCAATCATGTATTTTCTGTCTGCATTTAGAAATTTATTATCTATTTTTGGTCATTACGATTGATGATTTCTCACCACATATATGAAATTTTATTATATCTTCACCTATCGAGGTAATATTGAAAAAAAAAATATTATTTTGAAATGAAAAAGTAATGTTGTTTTTGAATAATAATAACTGTAGCTTTACATGGAAAACTCTTTCACAATATGAAAGAGCTCTCGTTAGAAAGCTTTAATGACACGGGTTTGATTTTATGTTTGTTTGTTTTAAAAAAAAAATAATTTTTTGGTTACACAATTTGGAATTTTTATTATTTTTAATCTTTAATATAAATTTGTCACTATTAAAATTTTTTTTTTTAATTGCCTGCCTGCACTATTTATTATTATAATATATATATATATAAATAACCTATTATTATTGTTAATATAATAATATTATTTATTTTTTTTCCCCACGCATAAATAATATAATAATAATAAATAAAATTCGCTTTTTTTAAAATTTTGTGGTTGTGCAGGTGGGAAAATCTTCCAAGAAAATTTCTTGTGAAAATTTATTATTTATTTGCTTTTTTGATACGGGAAAAAAGAATAAAAATGTTAATTAATTTATTACAATACAAAGTTCTTTTTTATAATAATTGGAAAAGGAATGTTAAAAACTGAGTTTGACAAAAAAAAAATACATATAATTATTTACATAATATAAATTTGTCACTATTAAAATTTTTTTTTTTAATTGCCTGCCTGCACTATTTATTATTATAATATATATATATATAAATAACCTATTATTATTGTTAATATAATAATATTATTTATTTTTTTTCCCCACGCATAAATAATATAATAATAATAAATAAAATTCGCTTTTTTTAAAATTTTGTGGTTGTGCAGGTGGGAAAATCTTCCAAGAAAATTTCTTGTGAAAATTTATTATTTATTTGCTTTTTTGATACGGGAAAAAAGAATAAAAATGTTAATTAATTTATTACAATACAAAGTTCTTTTTTATAATAATTGGAAAAGGAATGTTAAAAACTGAGTTTGACAAAAAAAAAATACATATAATTATTTACATGAAAAGTAATGTTTTTTTAAAGAAATAAAATAAAAAAAATGTCTATAAAAAATATTTGGTATTTTGAATGAAAAGACAACCTTTCCAATAATAATAATAATAATAATAATAATAAATAAATATCATTGTTTTTAAAAAATAAAAACTAAAATTACAACTATTTTAACTTTGAATAAAAATATCATATATAATTGTAATATTGATTAAAATTATGATTATGTTGTTGTTGTTGTTGTTGATAATTTTGAAGTTCACTAAAATTCATAGTATGAGCACGTTGAGGAGCAGGAAGTGGTTTAATGGCACCTTCCTGTTTACCAATATCAGCCATAGTTTGAAGTATGGGATCTTGAAGTAATCTTTCAAGGAATGAAGAATATTTTTGACGTCTTTTTGTACTTGTCGAATTTGGAGGATGATAAGTGTTTGAACGAAAAATTTCTTTTCTAATAATTTGCGGAACTACAAAGGTAGACATCTTTATAATTGAGTGAGTGAGAGAGAAAAATAATTGTTAAAATAATTATTATTATTTATAAATAAATAATTTTTCTTTTTTTTTTTTTTTTTTAAAAAAGAAAAAATTAGAGTAAAAGGAATAAATCGAATCATACTTATTATTGCTATTATTTATATTAATATTAAAGGGTAGAGTTAGTCATGTGATTTATTTTATTTAATGATCAACAGGTGAATAGTTTTTTCCCAATCCTCCAGTAATAGCTACGCAAAAAACCGGTTTCACTTAATACAAAATTTCCATTTCAGTTATTGTTAAAAAATAAAAACATATATATGGTTAAATCAACCTAAAAAATAAAAAACAGTTGCCCAATTAAAATCAGATAACACAAATATTCTAATTCTGGTAATTCTCTCTTGTTCTAATAGATAACTAGATCTGGTTCCCTATAGTATCCGTATCAGTCAACGATATTAATATTAATATGTTTAAATTGAGACTGAATAAACTTCATACTTTTTCATCTGTTTTTTAGGAAATATTAATTAAATTTAAATGTGTATATATATATATATATATATATGTTTTTTTTTTTTTTAATTATTTCAAGAGGAATAGTCTCATATAAAGTTTACTTTATTCATATTAAAAAAAAACATAACAAAATTTTATAATTTTATATTTTTTATTATTATTATTATTATTAATTTATATTTATTTCCAATGAATTCACAAGGTAAATAGTATCAAGCTCTTTGCAACAGTAATTCTAACTATACATCATTCCAATAGGACCTGACAATTCTAATTTAAAAGTATCGAATGAACTTGCTAATCTAACAACTACTGGAGTAGCTATTATCAGTTATATACAGTATATATATATATATATATATATATATATATACAGTTGAAGAATATCAATTCTTCCTGGATATTCTATCATTCATTACCTTAATTGGAGAATCATATTTTCGTTTTACCATAAAATAAAGATGAATCAAATTTATTACACTTGTCTTGGTACGAATAATGCTTTGACGAAAATAGAATATTCGTGTTCAGGAACTGGTTTTTTTAATACATTCATGATTATATTCAATCAAAAAGAAAGGGAAGTGATGATTTCTATTCCTGATATTCTCGTGATAAGGTACGTCCACTATATTTGATAATTATAAAAACACTCGGTCTGCGATTAAAAAAACAGAAACATTAATAAAGAAAATTTTGTCAAACAGAAATACAAGATAATGAATTTGATAGTAATGTTATGAAAAACTCTACCTGTGTCAAAAGAGGTATAAATATCGCCCCAGTAAAAGTACAACTTTCTCTTGTCCTAATGCTCCAAACGAGCCAAGAAATAGTAGGCTTAATTCTATTATTTTATACCTAAAAAACAATTTAAGAGCCTATTTTCTTGAACTCAACTCGGTATTAGAAGTTCTTATTCAAACAAAAATTCGTCGTATCACGAATAAAACATTTTTGCATATCCGGATAAATTTTATACAGTCAATTTGATTTGGATTTTCAAGATATAATTTCTGGTAACAAACACAATTCTATATTAATTACTTTGTAGTATCAGCTAGAACATTTTGACGTTAATTTTGATGCCTCAATTTAATAAATATCACCATTGAGCTTTAGCCTTTTTGTTAACATCGATTATTAATGATTGTTTAACAAGTATATTAGATTATGGCTTGACTTTGGGATACACTTGTTAGTTTATGAGTTTACTTCGGTTCTTGCTTACTGTCTCTTCCTTACAACCAGAAAGCTTCGACGAATTTATACCATTAGTGATGGTTATGAAAGCACTGAAACCTTTTACTGACTCAGAATCAAACTCCGATAGTATCAATAATTTACCTGTTTCTGATATATGGAATCATTTTGAAAAAAATTTGAATTAAATCCTTCAAATGTAATGGAACGACGTTACCTAAACAATAAACACACTTCACTTCCTATCAATTTCGATCTTATATAGGAAAGCTGAATCTAAGTATATTACAATACGCATGATTGAATGGATGGCTGTAAATTCACAATCGTTTTTAGCGATGGAGCAAGAGCATCAAATCCTTGATACATAATTCCATGTCGTCAAACAATTAAAGTGATAGATAATATTAAACAAGAATATATAATATATCCTTTTTGAAATATATTAATAATTTTAATTTATTTGATAAAAACTAATTAAATTGAAATAAATGCTTTTTATGATAGAAAAAATTTAACGGTCCAAACGGTCTTTGATACCAAAGACCAGACCAGACCGGTTCGGTCCCACAGTCCAGACCGCAGCCTCATTCAGTCTAAACCGGACCATTGACATCCCTACTACTACAGTTTTAAAAGTAGCAACTTTGCCGTAAATTAATTATAGTAAATTACTGGCAGAGCAAACCTAACACAAAAAAACCCAATTAATTAATTTAAATAAATAAATATTCCTTGGGTAATTTCAGGTCTGTGCTTAAATTAAATTCCAATTTCGTTAAAGTGGTTCCATATGTGGTGGATTAATGTTAATATTAACAAAGTAATTTGTAAAAATAAAAAGATTTAGAATTTACATATAAAAAAGTTCTGAAGCAAGCTTGAGTGTAAATTGTCAAATATTCTATACATCATTTTAATGAAAAAGATAGCTTATTCCCAACATCCACATCCACACACCCATGGCACCCAAATCTTGATTCTGATACTATCAAGAAGAAAATATAGAAATTGACTCTTTTGCTTTTTTTGGGGGGGGGGGGTTGACTAAATTTTGATCTGAAATTTCTTTGCTAATGTCCACCCACTTTGTTCAGTTTCCCCTTTTTTTTCAACAATCCATTAGTTATTAATATGACCCCACTTTTCTATCCAATTTTTTTAAGTTAAGGTCCAACTTCACCATCATTATTGAAATCACTGTTGCTATTTATATAGTGCCGGTCACAAGTACACATCCAATAAAAATTGCCTTTCTAAGAAATGATATTCAGCAAAATAGAAAAAACA